TTTAGTTAATAAAAACTTTATGAAAACTTTATGAAATCTACTAGTTTTTTTGTTCAATTAAGTTTTCCATATACTTTTAAGGTAGTTTGAGATAGTGCCGGTGATAGTTCTGTGATAGTTCCAATATACTTTAACTACACTAAATGTAAAGTGATACTTTTACACAACATAAATTTCCGTGAGTTTTTTGAAGTGTAGTCTGATGGTTACTTCACACTTGCCTACAATGTAATACGCAATCTTCACGTGGATCTCATCTCCTATAAAGATTTCGCTGTCATCTCTCGTCTTTAGTGTCACCATGAGTTTGATTTTCATTCGGAATAGCACTTGAATCATAAGTTATGATGTTGTCTTTGATTTAGTAAAGAATCAATAATTTAATAATGCATAGATTAAATTTGCTTTGACTATAGGGTGAATGAGGTAGATAATTTAACATACAGTACATTTATTCTATCCTGTGATTTACACTCCACACAATGAACGATTCTCCAGCTAGAACCAGAGGTGCAGCCTGCAAAGATCTGGGTAGGCCAACCCGCCAGGCAGCTGAGTGGAGACGGTGGCCTATCCGTACCCCGTGGAATCCAACATGGCGGCTGATGTCCGCTTGTGAAGACGACCGTTCATCTCGGGGGCCACGTTAACAGTCACTCAAAGATAATCAGACGTGGTGACTTTTGGAAGTGGTGAGAAACAGTTTCGAATGTGAACTAATTCAAAGAAGCCTGAAATGACAATGATTTCAATTAGCTTTGAAACCGAGGGGGCAACAACTCCGGGAATCATGTGTACACCTGCCTGGGAATCACTGGATAAAAATCAGTCAAAATCATCAGAAATCGCTTAAAATAAGCGGGAAACTAGTGGAATTCGTACAAATTAGTCAAAATAACGTAAAAATTAGGCGAAATAAGCGTTTCCTACTACTAGAAAACCTAAGGAATGAACATAAGAGGACGGGAATCACTGGGAATCAAGGTTTTCGGGAATCATGTGTACACATTTAAAGGTAGTTATTGCCCCCTCGTTTGAAACGGTTACAGTAAAAATAAATCTATGTCTGCATAAGTAGACACCTACCTTGCATGCTAACAAGATTCACAGCTGTGCGTGGTTTTGGTTGAAGAATGTTCCATACTTTGCAAGTGCTGCTGTATAATTGCCCGGTTTATCCTCTTGATTGAAACAGAAGCAGGAATAAAAAATTTAACCTAGACTGTTGGTTCTGAATAACTGCAAGGAGGAGGGTTATTAGAAGTAAAAAGTTCTTTTCTTACTCAGCATTTATCAGCATACTTACTAGATGTCTACTTACTTATCACGCTAACCAGATAAGTTAGAATACTATTAGCCGAGGAAGGATGCGCCCAGATGAGATGTTTGGGACCAGAGCCTGTAAGAACAATGATTTTTATTAGTTTCAAAGCGGCTTCAAAATAAATAAATTGAAGTCTACATAAAAAAATAGATGTGTTACCTTTAATGCAAACAAAATTCATAGCTGTGCGTGGTTTTGGTTGAAGAATGTTTTACAACTTGCAAGTTCTGTAGTAATTGCCCACTTCACCCTCTGAAGTGAAACAGGAAGGCAAGAAATAAAGAAGATACCTTCAATAAATATGAATTTAAATAAGATTCGATGCCAGGGCAGAAACAAACATAATAAAGAAAAGCACTAACCTCCATAGCGAAACGAAAACTCCATTGTGGCCTAGGGAAGATGAAAAGACCTCATTGCAAAACTGCACCGTACACATCTCATTGGAGTCCTTATGGTGCGGTTGCCATGAAATGAAGGAGCATATACTACATACTCATTAATGACACATTCCAGCCAAAATAACATACAAAATAAAGCTGAATGTAAACATAACCTAGTTAACTTACATGATCGCAGGTCTCAGTAGAAATTTCGCGCACCTCCCATCCTCCCTTCTCTCGTGCTGCTCGTCTTGGTTAGTACAAAGCTCCTTACGGATGTGAATCATGTAAATCTTTTCGTTACTAACAGAAACTTGTTTGATTTCAGTGTTTGCAACATGTTTCGCGGTGCTGTGGCTGGCCGACCGAGACCAAGAGAGAGAGGGACGCAGGCGGAGGGAGTGAGGGAGCACGGAGACGCACGGAGCCGAAAGTATAGAGGGCGAAGGCTGTGGCTGTGGGGATGGACAAATCGACTGAGTCATGTAATTCTAAGTGAATTTTCTTGGTTATTCCTTTAGTAAATCCTAGTAATTGATATGTGCTGTGAAATGAATCGAAATGTGCTGACTTGTTAAATATACTTGACAAATTTCGTTAGTATTGAGAGCTTCGACGTTATTATGACCAGGGAATCCTAACCTCGCAGAGAGTAAACTATATAACAATTACTCGTTTAAGTTTTCGTAAAGATCCGGGTATAGTTGAAACGTCATCTTCGTCAGTAAATTATTCACTCTTTTTGCATTTCAGAAGCTGTGGTGACGACAAAACGGCGCTGCCTGATACCAGAGAAATGAGATCTCTAAAGCATCATGCTGCTTGCTTCATTTGAACTAAAAGTAAACTAGAAAGGAGGGTTGTTCGGAGAGTTGGATGTAAGTATTATTGTGAACCCATGCTGGTAGCTCCAACAATCCCAAAATGAAACGTGTCACATGTAATTTATGTTCCATTGTATGAATTTCAACAGGTGTTCGAGTTTGAATTGTACATGGACAAGTGGACAATATCTACATGTGGTTTGGGAGGAACTCTCCACTCTATCAGATGAGACTCCTCCTCAGC